GAAAACTGTAGTTCCAATGTCTCCCTTCACCCTCCCCTCTCCCTCTCCCCCAGTCTTTGATGCCAAGTATCCTGGATTATTAATGATTAAGAGCAATGAATAGATGCAGAAAATGTTCACTTAACATATTTGGATAGCTCATGCAGGAGGTTATATCTAAAAGCTACAACATAAAGAGGAAACACTATAGAAGTGTTCTTACATTTGATAGGTGTGTGTATACACCATCTGGCTGTGTTTCTGTCTTAAAGATGTGGGGTCACACCTAGCACTGTTAAGCTACAGGTTGGGTTTTCTTTTTGTTTTGGATTTGGACAAATTGAAGTTTCACTTCAGCCTGTCTTTCTTTTACTTTTTTTTAAGCTCAGACAGTGAAAAGCGTGGGACTTTTTCTGCTCAGTTTTACTTGTGTGTTTTGTTTATAAAATTTTTAAACCATGAAAACTAGAAAACTCAAAAATCCTTCCATTTTTTTTTTCTACCAGAGATATTACCCTCTCCTAGTAAATTGAAACAGAAATGTGAATTCTAGAAATATGTGACCAGTTACTCTTGTTTTAGCCAATGATGTGTGGAGTGTACGTGTGCAAAACATAGTTCAAGGCCTGTCCTAATCAACTTAAGCAAAATGAATTGAAATAAATATCCCCAAACTATTTGCAGCAGTTACATTATATTAATTTAAATGAGATTAAAGCTATAATATGTGTAGCTATTTTCATGTGAAGATAAGCTTAAGAAATATTCTTCCTCTGATCCTAGTTCGGAGTAACAACCAGACCAGAACCTTTCATTTGAAGATTATAATTTCCCTCCTGAATTTCTAGTGTCCTTTTTGCACCCCTCTACTGGTTAGCTGTATATAATTTTTCCAAATATTTTGGTTATGTGTATTTTATTTACAAGTTCAGTTCTGATGAAGTTATCTGTGTATATATTAGGACTTTCATTTGTGAGAATCATGGAACTGGAATAAATATTCTAAATAGGTAATTATGCACAAAATTATAAGAGTAGAGGTGGTTGTTCATAGGTTTGGGTAGGAAGTTTTTGTTTTGATTGTGCTTGTTAATAGATCTTGTGTGGATAAAACATGAATTTTATTGGAGAAACTTGAGTGAAATGGCACTCATGGAATAGAGTTGAGGTTCTACAGAATGAACCTGAATTGTGTTGTGCATGTGAAGGTAAGAACGTCATATTCTGAACCGGCCTATAAGAGGGAAAGCTCCTTGATACAGCACTGCTGTAATAGTAATACGACTGATGGTGATTTGTGGTGTTTTGGCATTTTATCTTTCCAGCAATATTTGGACAGAGCTGAGAGAGCTGACTGAGAAACTGACTAATCCATAGAACAAAAAGATGAGTAGCTAGTGACTTGTCAGTAAGCAATTTTCAACAGCTTTAACTTGGAGTTTCAATGATTTTAATAGATTGTTTGACTGCATTATCTAGTAGCAAGGCTTTACCTCTGGATTTAGTGAAATCTTATGCTTTTGTCATGTCATTGGGATATCATGAAAATGTGTGAAAATGGCTTCAGCAGTAATGTGCAGAGTGCTTTGAAATGGATTAGATGACTCTATGTTAAAGCAAAATAGTTATTGAGTGCTTGCTAACCAGCTGAACTTTACCTAAATTAATGTTCATATCAAGTTAAAAATTTCTGATATAGGCAAAGAAAAGGTCATTGAAATAAGGAAGTCATGTTCAGGAGTCCATACTGACATCAGAAGATGTAAAGTTGAATGTGCACAGTATGTTTGACTGAAAGGCTAGTTTTCCTTCTGTAATTGTAGATATGGTGTGCAAACAGCTGTAGTATATTGTGATATTTTATCCCAAGGACCTTAATGTAAAGAAATGTGGGTTAGCATCAGAGTGGTTATAAATTAGCCATATTCTATTACCTCATTTACTTATGTCAATTTGTAGCTCCTCTAAAGTCATCTTCAGCTTTGCACAGAATACCCACGATGTTCACTCAGCTTCTGCCACCCATGAGAATTTTAAATAACTACAGCTGAAGCTCTTTAGGCCTCTTGAAGAAAAAGAAGGCGGCACTATCTAAGCAGACCATGTACCAGCTGCTTTATTTTCCTTTTGCACACCCTTGGTATTATACACTTCTGGTTCCTTCTGTATTGTTTGTGTTGATCTTTCTGAGGTGAAAGTTACTGCAAATGTCAGCTGAGTGTTAGTGTTGCAGTGTCCATATTGGAAAAGGTAGTGTATAATTAGTGACTTGTGAATTCCCCTGTTGATATTTAGAAGCTTTGACCACCACTCCTGTGTTTTAGGAGCTACTTGAAAGTGTTGTAATGAGAGTTGAGCTGAAATGTGCAAAACTTTGGATGCTACAAAAGTGACTTCATTGCATAACAACTTTGGTAAAAAACCTGAAAGAAATAACTCTGGACTGAGGAATTTGTTTTCTCTTCTGACTAAGCCTAAAAATTAGACAACTAGCTACAGTCAAGGGACTGTAGTCAACCAGACTATCTGGTTTTTCAGGCATGTATTAATTCCACAACAGCTGTATTACTACCTCAGGAAACTTTTAAACTCTTTAGCTTAGGCAACAGATGGACGTGATACTGTCTAATTTTCGCTGAGTTAGTGCTATGGGATTTCCCCTTTGCTGTTCCTGTTATTCCTCTCTATTTAGTTAAAATTCAGAGAAAGGAGATGAGGACAGTTATCCGACTGTAGAGGCAGGCTGGCCACCCAGGAGAGTTTAAAGTTTATAATGATTCTAATCAGTGGGGAGAAATTGTGGAAGTTTAAGTTTCTGTCATTCATAGATCTGAAGTGCAGTGCTTTCAAACTTTGGCATTACCATTATGCTTTGAAAATATAGATAGATATTTTTGATTTCCACAGGACAGTGCAAGTTGTCTGATAGTGAGGTACTGGGAGCCTGGAGGCTATTGCAGGCATGAGACAACTGTAGGTGGTGTTGAAATAGTTCACTAGCATGTGTTCCTGACTTGGACATGTACAAGCATTTGCACAGGCTTGTCCTCTCAATGAGGAAGAAATGTCAAGATCTGGCTCCTGGAAGTCTTTGTATGTAATCTTAACATGACTCTATCATGGTGGGATGCAGCTGCATCTCAAGATGCTTGTGAGTTTGTAAACTGCTGGTTAGTAATGAATCATTTGTGCAAAGGGTTTCATTTTTTATCCCTTGAAAAATGGAGCTGCTTATCTGCTTCAACAAAAAACTCTCCTCCATGCAAAAGTTTTCAATATTCTGTTGCAGTTAATTCTACAGGACTTTGACTGTGAGGTGGATCACATGGTGGTGTTTTTTTCTGGGTCTTCAGCTAGAGGAAATAGTTTGGAAATGGGTTTCCAGATTCCCAGCCATCTGTTAAAGCTTTCTTTCTTGAAACTGTTTGTTATTTCTGAGGCTGCCTTATATTTCTCACTAAACTGTAAGGCTGTAGTAGTCAAATATTTCCACAAGCTGGGTTGCTGAAAAATCCTTCAGTGACAAATTTAAGTCAATACTTCTGTGTGGCAGTATAGCAGATGTTTCACCATTAATGTGAACTGCAAGCAGAACCGTAAGCATGTCACAGGAGAGAAGCTAATCGTGTATGTTGAAGAAAAAAATGAGTGAGTATTGGTGCTTGTGGACTAAGGCATTTGGAAGCTCTTGTACAGGGGAAGAAAAGCAGAATTAGGGTAGATGCTACAAGATTATAGACTTTTTATTTTTTATACAATGACATGGTATTTTAAATCACATACCAGATAAGAAGTGAAACGTTTTCTCCCTTACAGTCAGGGACAGTACATTAGCAGGTAATTTTCTAGCTCCTGTTGATCATATTGACAGGCAATTTTTAATTAGGTAGTTTTAGCAGTGCTCTTCTGCCCAATAGCTCTTGCCATAATCAGGATGGAAAGAATTCCTCTGTATGCTCATAAAAATTGATTCAGTTTTTTTTGTCCGTTTACGTTTCTGCTCTGCGCAAAATGAATTCCTGTACTCGACCTCAGTTGCAGACCACTTCTCCACCAGAAGTGCAGCAGTCTGGCAAGCCAGCAGAAAGGGTGGGAACATGAACAGCAATTGCCAGAGCATTGCAGTACATTAATTTTACCTTAATTATACTTTAGCCCATGATTAATACAGGTCACTAGTGGCTGGTCGTATTGTAGATCATGCTGAAAATTGTACAATGACAAGTACAACTCCTCTGAGACATTTTGACTACCTTGCTTAAATAATCATTGTTTAAGCATGGTAAGGAAACTGTTTATTTTGAAAATGTTTCCAAGAAGTCCTAATCCCCTTTTGGGGTAAATGAAATAGTTCATGCTATGAGATTACTTTTAACTGTGGAAAGCAGTTGGGTTGAATACTGAAAAGGAAACAGAAAAGATAATTGGCTGTTTTGCTTTCTCAACAAGTAAAGTGAAAAAATTTCTTTGGATTGGGTAGATTTGCTCTTTAGCCCAAGGGCTGAGTGGAATGTCTTTGCAGGTCAAGATAGAAGTTGATCAGGCAGACAAATGTGTTCTCAGGAGAAGACTTTGGACCAAGAATGCTTAGAAGCAGTCTAGTTCAATGCCTGCACATCCGTAAAACTCATCCCTGGATAAGAAGGGGGAATCATTAGTTTAAGATAGATCACTCAGTTGCCATACAAAGTAGCATCCCATGCTTTGTTCTAAGGAGTTTGGAACATGTTGTAGTCATTTCCCTAGAGATTGCCCCAAACATACAACTCCTCTGGTTAGTACTGCTTGGAGATCATGGTTCTACTTTGTGTAACCAGCTAGCATATACCTGAAAAAGAACTCCAGCTGTCACTGTCCTCTCTGTTTCTTAGCAAGCATCCCTCTTTCTGTCTTAATTGCAAGTCAGATGTTTTCTTTCTCCGTATATTTCATATCACATCATGGTACTTCAACAGCAACACCAGTGCCTGTGTCTCTTCAAGGGAAGAGTTGCATGTGAATGACTTGGGAGATGGCTGTCCTGTAGCTGCATCCCCTGCTGTCACTATGCAGACCACTGAGCAGCCTTCCAAGACTCATGCTTTGTCCTGGGTTTTCAGGTAAACTGAAGTTACCACTGCTTTGCCTAAAGGCTATAAAATGGAGCTACCTCAGGACTAGGTGGGCCATCTGTGAAGCAAGGACAGGAGCACAGCTGAGACTGACAGTCTCAGTGTACATTGTTCTTATTCGTCATTCAAAACCTTCTCCTGCCAAGGAGAACAGTATAGTCTCAAACTTAAGTGTTTGCTTGGGAAGTCAGTAATGTATGCTTGAACCCACGGGTTCAATTCCACACTGCCTCTGAGGATACTGTTTGGCCTGAGTGACAATTGTAAACTCTGCACATGGGCTTTTCTTTCAAACTGAAGTCTGTTTACGTGCCCTTTCCTTGCTCGTTGAGTATAAATATTTGCTTGAGAGAAGATGATTTGGTTTGGTCTCTGTTTTGCCATCAAGAAGAATCTTGAACAGTAGTAATTTGGGTTAAAACCAATCAATTGCAAAATCAATTAGATCTGTTAGCTTCACAGTTTTGTTTAAAAGACAGAAGATTTATACTTCTGAGATTCTTGAGTGTTTATATAAGAAACTACATGAAAGGTTTAAAGTTGAGTCATAACAAGACCTAAAGCAAAGCAAATTATTTGCTGACAAAATCCACAGCAAAAAATATTAAAAAAAACCCCAAAGCAACAATGCAAATCCCTTCATGTGTAATTGTGTGTTATACTCTTGGGAGTTGTTCACTGGCAGCTTCTCTCAGGAGCAATGACTAAATACATAAGTGTATGTGTATGTAAGCACAGTTCTACAACCTCTAATTCTTGTTCGTATTGCAGGAGTTGGCAGGGCCTTCCATAGATGGTAACTGCTCTTCAGTTTTAATTTCATGCACAGAAGATGTAATATGTCTTCAGAAGGTCAAAATTCCCTTCTTGTCATCACATACAGTTATATGAGAGGTTTTTTTGCTCGCAGGACCAAATGATAGCTTTCTTACAGTGATGTGCAAGTGGGAGTAGAAAAGAGTTCTTTTCACACAGTCCTGCATAGTTACATTTAAAATTATGGAATGAGTCAAGGCTAAGTTGTCTGGGCATATATGCATGCTTAGAGGTTAGTATAGGTACAGTAGCTACATTTTTTAGATAATTGTCCTATTCTTTTTATGTAAATGTTTGCAAGGATATAAAATTGCATTCACTAATACCCTTCTATCAGTAGGCAAAAAATGAACAACAGGAAGCTCTCCCTGCTATACTTAATTCCATATACAAAGTGCTTGACTAATTTGGCCACAGAAGCTGTTCCACTCTCTCATGTACATATATTCTTCATTGCCTTGATATTGCAGGGATTTTGTTCTTCCGTGGAAGTAAACAAAAATGTTCCTTCTGCTATTTTAAGCAACAAGTGGAAACTTTCATGGGTGAAACAAAGAGTTGAAAAGTAAACTGAAACAGCTTTCAAGTTTAAGTTCAGTTTTGGGGTTATAAGCTGCTTTTGTAAGACTTCACTGTAGCCTCATTGCTTCTTAGAGATACATGATTTTACATGATTGCAAAACACTTTTAGCATTTCCCTGAGGTAACAGGAGGGAGAAAAGACTTGTCTGAGAAGACTGAGGAGCTGGAAGCCCTCAGTCATCCATTCAAAGTCTTTGTTGCTTCTGTGGTGAGAATCAACTAATGGCGAAACCATTTGACTAAAACCTGTAACTGCTGTGTTTTTCCTCATCTTCATCTGGTTTTTGGTCTCTTCTAGATGCTTTGTACATTGAGTCTAGAAAAACTCTAGTCTTGCCAAAATCGTTTTATTTAAGTGCTATAAACATATCCTTTTGTTTATATCCTCAAATTTTTTCAGGATGTTGTCTTTTATTACCCACTGTAAAAATAGAAGTTGTAACTACTGATATACCTCTTCTGAACTCTGATTTTTGATTTGTGTTTAGCTGAAGGTGCCTGCAATTGCATTTCACATTTGGTACGCTGTTCTGCTTCAGAGGTAACAGCCAAGTAGAAATACTAATCTGTGGTACGAGAGTCATAAAATAATCATACAAAGCTCCTAATGATACCAATTTGTCACTTGGGATACTGAATAGCATTTTCTGGGGTGCCAGTATAGATCTGTAAGAAGTAGAATATCGTTTTCATCATCAGGCGCTTAATTGAGATGAATGAAGCTGGAATTGATACAAATGTTGTGCCCAGTCCTTTCCCAGAAGCACGCTTGAGGGAAATACGTGCTGAATTCTTCCTCTGTAAGAGTCAATAGAAATTAATTAATTCACCTCTATAGAAAGAGGGTCCAATTAAATTTATTATGTTGGACTGAAAATTTTTTGCCCGATATTCATACAAAAAACCTTAAGAGGAAAAGCTAGTAGCTCTTACTATCCAGGTATATAAGCATTGTTAGTGCAGCTCCAACTGCTTGCATATTTCAGGTTTGCAGCATCTGGGTAAAAACTGAAATGGAATGGTGTGGTGTTTGGTGTTTGTTTTGTTTTAATTCTTTCTTAGCATCATGATAAATTAGCCTTAAGTGTTTATCTTTTCTAAAATCATCTTTTACTTTGTTGTTTTGAACTCTGAAAGCATGATGGCCTATAAGGCAAGAATACCCAGATTGAAGTTCAGTTTATTTTGAACCTAGGGCTATAGTACCAGTACTAGGTCAGCCTGAATAAGAACATTGTTTTTTGAAGACACTCCCACTTTAGCATGGTTTGAATTTTCTGTGGTATGGGCCTTTTCTCTTTAATTTTTCTGTTTCTTCAAGTTCTGTTTTAAATAATTACCGTTTGGAAAAGTGAAAACCTGCACCAGGTGAGCTAAAGATTTATTGGTTTAAATTATTTTTGTAAACAGTGAAATGCTTCTTTTGTCTTGCATAGCTGGTTTAAACAATGTTTATTTTTATTATTAGCATAACCCATTTTGGGTTGGAGCAAATATGAAATGCTGTGTAATCTGAGCAATATACTTGGTTTGCAGAAGGTGTATCAAATACTGTCAGATGTCATGTTCTAAGAATCCATTCTGATATGCATTTGTGAAATTATCATTATTTGTTATCATTGCAATAGGGTTTTTCTATGAAATGTGACATAGGTAGTACTATGGTTCTGTGGTTATATGTACCACGCTCTAGTTTCCAAACTGGCCTAATTTATACAATAATCATAATTATCCTAGTCTGGTAATATCCATGTGTGCTGAGGAGATGAAATGGTAGCAGACAGGAGAAGTGCTGTTGTGACTGTAAGCAGGCTGGATATAGTTAAAGTGCAAAGCTTTCTGGTATAGCTGAACCTTTAAAAACTACAAGGACAACCTCACTTGCTCCTGAAGCACGGAAGTCTGAGGCAACATATAAAACATGTAAAAATCTCACATATACCATATGCCAGTTTAGGATAGGAGAGGATGCATTTAAACTGCAGGCTTGATAGAGTTGTCTAAATTGAAATTTTGGTGCTAGCTCAAGCTTAAGGCTTATCTCTACAAAGGTCATCAGATATCCTGTTACAAATGAACAAAGAATTGGTTTTGAAAGCATAACTTATAAGTTTCAACCTGTGTAATGGTTCCCACAAACAGGCTCATGGGATTTTGTTGCAGTACTGACACCCATGAATGGCAATTTCTATGAAGATCCCATTGCGTGTACACTGCTCATTTCTCTTCCACTGAAATACCTATCTAATGCAGAATATGGTTTTTTTTGTTGCCCTACCAAAGCTTGTGCCTATGCTATATGAGAATTTGTCACGCCTTTTTACGTGGTGTGAAGTACCTAGCTTATTTGTATTGTACAGTGTTTTGCATTAATTGCGCTTCATCAGTCTATGAATTTGTTAAACACTGTGGAATGCAACAAAATCATTCAAGCTTTCATATATTTCTTTAAGAAGTGCTAGTTTAAAAATGTAATTCATGTGTGAGATATAAGTAAACACAGTGAGATACTTCAGCCCAATTTTGGTATGCTGTTCTCTTTCTTCCTAAGACTAGATGAAACTGGCTTCACGTAAGTGGTATCATTTGTTACTACACATTAAAAAAGAGATGGAGATTTTTCTTTAGCATTTCCCCAGCTGTGCATCACCATATATAACTGCTTAGCTTCAAACTGCATATTTCCTTTAAAATATATACCCATTAGCAGAAAAGATGAACATAATTTTTGAGAAATAGAACACAGTAAGTTGAGAAGACAAAGTGGTTTTTTTTTAAATAAATCAGAAAAATAATTTAAGCGTTTTTTTTTAATTATTATTTATGCTTTTAGCTTATTGGTTTAGTTTCCTGTGAAATAATAAGCATGCCCCTTTCATGGCATGTTTATTTTCATGTTTTTTTCCTGGGAAAACTTGGCAATACTGATGGGAATCTAAGCCTCCAACTAAAACTGTGGCCAATATCTAGAACTCCCTCCAAAGGTCCTTGTATAGATTTGGTCTGTTTGTTTGAAATTATGACATAATTTAGTGCTCACAGAAGTAATTTTAAAGTGGTACTTTCAATTTATGGATGATCTTCAAAAGATAAATTTAGGAGATGTCTCATTTGTTCCTCAGAAGGGAACGGAGATACTTGCAGATTTTGCTTGGTTCTTTAGTGCCTCTGATTGTGTTTATGGTCTAATGTAAATCTGGTCAACTGCCTTGGTCTGAAATACCTCTTGGATTAAATGAAATTTATAACTTATTCTTGTAGAGAAAGGAATAGGCATATTTAATGGAAATTAATGAGCTCAGTTTAATTGAGATTGACATTTTAATCTCTGTCTGAGTAACTGTGGTATATTTCAAGGGTTGCTGCAGTGCCTCACATACTGGCTTTTATCTGTATAATGCATGGCAGTTATCACGTCTTGCGTCTTGGCTTATTCAGAAATAAAAGCTTATCCAAAGTAAAATGTATCTGCCATTTTCTAAAAAACTGATTATTTTGCAAATGTTAGTTATTCTTTATTTGATTTTAAAATTCATTTTGGAGGTGAATTGAACAGTGATCAATTCAATTATTCCGCACTGTGCTTATAC